TTCCCCTGTCAGTGATGCAGGACAGAGAGGCTGACATGAAAAGAGTATCTAGTCATGCAGATAGAACATTAAACCTGTGTTACAAACTGTGCATCTTAAAGATCTCTTAACAGTTGGAAATAAAAAAATAATAGGCTGATGAAATGCAACTGTCCTGGTAAAATTTCCCTCATTGCAAACTGCATGACATTGCCTGTCTTCAATTAGGTGCAGAAAAGTAGACGTAAACCTTCATATTTTGATTCATTTATTTCAGCCTGGAATGGTAGGCCGGGGTTGTCTATTTATAGTACCAATGTACTGTGTTTTCCTGCTGTATTTAGACTAATTATAGAAATGTTGAAAGTGAAAGTAGAACCTAGCTATAAAACATGTGATATATTAATACCAGGCCTGTTGAGATTATTACAAGTTTTAAAATCTAGTAAAATAGCCGTAGAGGCTGTTTGTAAGGAGGTAGGTAACTTTATTTTATTTTTTTTTAACATAGTTCACTGGATTAAGGAGGAGTCGGGGTGGCTCAGTGAATTCAAGGGATTAAGGGGGGCCGCAGTGGCTCAGTGAATTCAAGGGATTAAGGGGAGCCGCGGTGGCTCAGTGAGTTCAATTGATTAAGGGGGAGCCGCGGTGGCTCAGTGAATTCAGTGGATTAATTGGGAGCCGCGGTGGCTCAGTGAATTCAAGGGATTAAGGGGGAGCCGCGTTGGCTCAGTGAATTCAAGGGATTAAGAAGTAGACGCTGTGGCTTAGTGAACTCATGGGATTAAGGGAGAGCCACGGTGGCTCAGTGATTTCAAGGGATTAAGAAGGAGTCGCAGTGTCTCAGTGAGTTCAATTGATAAATGGTAATAAAAACAGGAAAAATTTTACAACAATATATGGGTTTTTGTAATAATTTTGATGCATCTTTATTTTTTCAGGGGTTGTTGGAAATTATTTTAGATGGTTTTAAAGAAAAGTTGGTTTGTAAAACAGGCACACATCAAGGTAATATTCTTTCACCGTTTTTATTTTTTAAACCAGAAAAACTCAACATTGTTATATACCTGCATGTCCCCTGCTGTGAAAGGGGAGGGGGGATTGTTACAATAATCGGTATATGCTGATAAAATACTGGACTTAGATGAAGAATATTGTGATAACAGATGAATTTCCCTGTATAAACGGCAAAGATGCTACTTACTTTTGAAGTAATTTTTTTAAACTTGATTTTTTTCTGCAGAAATCCTAGTTCGCGAAGTATTACTATCTTTAATACAACTACTAGCTCAACAACAAATGTCTTCCCAGGAATTGATGCAGTTCTTCCATCTCTTTAAATCAAAAGACAACAATATTGTAAGTAATTTTATGTTTATTATCCTACATTTTCATTGAAGTCATTTAGGCATTACAAGGATGAAATGATTGTCAATTTTTAGTTTTGATTTGTCCTATGAATAATGCATTTCTAATTAAGGATTGATTGAAATACTGGATTGTTTTAAACCAAATTTAAAGTACATTTTTGCTGTTTTTCTGCAAAATTTCTCTCTCAATTGATTGATTCCTTGATCGCTAATTTCAGGATGGTCTGTTATCAATGTTTCTTGGTATAGTAGAAAATTCAGTATTAAATCCATCACATAGTCTTCAGTTCCCTGTATCTAGTGTGGGTGAGAGAAGACAATCAGAAGATGATATTAACATATCAACAGGTTTGTCTCTTTTTATTTCCACTCGTAAAGTAG